ATTTCTGGGAAAAGATGATTCAAAAGCACAAATCTGCTGCTCTCAACTGAGAAATACAGAGTACAGATTTTCCAGAACCATCAGTATCGCTGTGTTCCAAATTCAGCTGGGAATCTGGGGGAGCATCTATCAGGACACTACTGCAACTCTTAAGACTATAAATGCACAGAAATGATCCCACTTCCACAGGAAGGATAAAACTCTATGATTTTATTCCCGGTATTCAAGAGGTCACTTCCTCATTGCAGATCACTATCCTGGTGTGACTCTCTGTGAAATAACCTGAGATACTTTTCTAAGAAGTGATGCTATTCATGGTAAAGCAGCAGCTCTGGCCTTATTTACCCCAATGGCCTCCTTGAATTTAGAGTCTCAGCTGCATTTACAACTCACAGGATTACACAGAGAACTTGGTGCAAACCTTGTAACCACATTCTAAAATCTGTTGAGTGACCCCAGGAATTCATTAAGCCATTCTAATTTTTCACAATAGTGCCCTCCTCCCATGTTTTAGCAACCTAGGAGTTCTATAAAATAACACTAATACCTAAATATGCAAAAGTCCTTTGTAGGACTGTGGCTTAAATGAAAAACTTGAAGAAATCCATTGGAAAAGCTCTGTTTTTTTGCATCAGATGATTAATTTTATGTGTTGAGTGATAGGAAAGGCTGAATAATAAATTTTTAAGCAAGTATATTTAATATGTCTGGAAGTACTAAACTTTTGTTCTAATCAATCATTTATTCAGCTATCATTGAAACAGGGCATTCATTTTAACGGATTTCAAGATAAACTAGCATCATTACTGGGTTTTCAGTGCAGGATTCAGCTCTAGATTAAGATGCTTACATTTAAGTGTCACTGGTGCACCAGGTGTCTTAAGTTATTGCTGTAATCACTGGAGATGCAGGGGACAATTTGGCTTTCTAAGCAGGTGTCCAGCACCACTGTTATTGGCTTGGCCTGCAGCTGCTATTCTAGAAGTACAAATCACCCACAGGTTTTTTTATCACAATTGTCATCCTTTCAGGGACGTCTCAGCCTTGAGCAGCTCCAACAGGCTTAAGTGCGAAGCCCCTACTCAACACAGTTAAAGCTTCATGGAGAGCAATTCAGCTTTTCTCAACTGCTGTAGGGTTGAAAAAATTGAATGTAGGGTTCAATTCAGTGGTCTAAAAAAAAAATGCATGGTGCAATCTTAGATACCATCAGTTATCATGCCAGGCCTCCAGCTGCCTCTTCTGATGGGAACAGACTTCCCACAGGGCTTGGACCCTCTTCTGTGCTTACCATGGTGGTTACTAACTCTAGGCACCTCAAACAGCACTAAACACAAATTCAGGGAAATGCATTGTTCTCTGAACCTTGATGATTTAGCCGAGTTTAAATAGCAGCCTAGATGTCTCATATGCCTATAAACCATGTAGATTTATTTATCTGTATTTCAATCCCACACTCAGTGAAAGATTCATATTAAGGTAGCAAGATGCCAAGTAAGATGCAGGAAGCTATCTTAATTCTACATGACAGATTAATATCTTTACTAAATAGCTATTTCACAGCTGACAGATGGAGAACTAATACTTGCTTCAATTTGCTTGTTTGTAAATGCCATGCACAACAAAATGTATTAATATACAGTCCAAGAAATAAATCTCTATTTATTGAATACTTATGCTACAGGAGTTTGAATAATCTCAAGACAGCTCTTTCCATGCAGGTTAATATATCCAAACACTTAGAAGCAATAAGTAGCCTGGACGAAGAAACAGTCAACATGGCTCTGTAATGTCAAACACTTGGTCGTGTTCATTATGACCTGGCTTGGGTACAGCTTCCAAATTATAAACATTAAATAACAGTGATGCATCACTTATCTTGTCTAAAGATGTTTATGGGATCATTAGAGAAAGTTTGATCACATGCAAATCTCTGCTGAGGTGCAATAATTGTGCATTTGTTCCATGCAAGAGCCCAAGCAGTCAAACTTTTCCTAAAAGGCTGAAAAAATATTAAGCATACTTTCAAATTGGATTTATTCCGATAACCTGATATGAGGGGTTATAAGAGGATACATCTTACTCTTTTTATAAGGCAGTAGAAACTATATCTTTCATTCTACCCCAAAGTGTTACTGTTGGTGGCATTCTCCCTTCAACTCTTAAAAGCAAAGAAGTGAAATAGCAGCTAGAAAATTCCAGGCTCAATTTTTGGCCAGTATTTAATAACTTAGCAACATCTTTACTATCTCTACTTCTAGGTCTTTACTGGCTGTCATAGGTGAGTGATCATACAAGAAAAGTCACGCCTGATTAATACTCAAAGTGCTCGCTCTTTTACTCCAAATCTCTTCCCCAATTGCTCTGGTTTTGCAGCATTTTGGTAGTTAGGAGGAGAAAAAAAATCTGCATTACTATTAAAGGTCATGAACTAGAAAAAGAGACATATATATTGCCCTCTTACTCCAGGGAATATTCCTTCAACTAAGAGTAATTCTGCATGCACTTCAGAGAACTGACAGCAATGCATCTTTCCTGCAAGGATAAAAAACTCAAAACTTTCTAGAGCTATTTTTTCCCTTCCTGTAAAATTATATGTCTTTTTACTGTATGTAGTTCAACCTAACTTTATGAAGTAATATAAAAGTGGAATGACTAGTGTTGTATATCAGTCTGAAACAATCCTTAAACAACTTTTAATTATATAGTTAAAATACTAATGAAGTGCAATTCCCTCTGGGATGCAAGGCCACATACAGATTGACAACTGCTACTCTAAACACTGCCAAAAATGAATACAGAACAAATTTTAAGCAAGGACAAAGGGGCACATTGCTGCTATAATAAAAAAAAAGTGCCATAGGAGCTTCAGCAGTATATTTCCATCTAGGCTCAAGAACAGCGCCTCTCTGTCTACAAAGTCAATTTATGCCTACAGGATCCCTGCTAGCATTTTTCCAGCAACGCGTACAACTGTATGGCTCATTCTCCATTTGATTTACATTCAGTCTAATAAACAGAGGGAATTTAAATATGCAAGTTGTTTGAGCTGATGAACCCACAAAATAAGGACAATAACCTCTACATATATAAAGCTGACAAGAATTTGGTTTTACATGGCCATCTATGACACCTGCAGATGGCAAAATGTTCCAGCCACAGAGGGGTTTAGTCTGTATCACTGGAATCACAGAGTTTGGTCTTGGGTAAATCACACAACCTTTAAATTTATAGTTCACCTTTTATTTTCAATTAATCTGAAATAACAATACACATTTACCTAATTTCAAAGATTTTGTGAGAATTAACTAATGTTAGTGTGCCTTTTAACTATACAAAGCACTGTATGGAGTAAACAATTTAGCAAGTTTTGCAGAATGAAGATTTGTATTAATCCTGCTGGTTTTTATCATTTCACATAACATATTTCTTTTAAATGGGTTGCCTATATCAACCCAGCAAATGTTATTCTTTCTACTAAGAACGTGTTTTATAAGGTTAAATCATCTACCAGAAACTCTCCCAACATTTCCTATGGTATGTTTAAGCTGCTAGCGTAGCACTGATGGTATTATGTAATCTGTGAGTAGAATATTGAGGGGGAAAGTAAATTATTTCATTGAAGGAAGTTGATAACAGTTACTCCGTCTTCTGTATTTTATTTACTTGCCTCTTTGGTTTTGACTGTATTTACTTTGGCTCTTGTTTGATGAGGAAAAACCCAAATATTTTGTTAGAAAGTATTAGATGATTAGAGAACCCTTCTTACCAGTTAAGTAGTCATTTAGGCAGAATATTTCACACAATTATAATTAATTAGTAGAAACATAGTCCTTAAAGCATAGCTACACATCAATGAAAAGATGATCTTACCCTCTCACTCACTCAGCTACTCTTCTGAAATAATTTCATGCATCATCTCGTATTCTTATGTCCACATCAGTAGATGCAGCATGTGACCTTTTTCCCCTCAGCTCACTGACACAGGGAGTTTTACAGCTGCAAATTGAGGTCTACAAGGCCTCATTCTGCAGAAGCAGAGAGGTACCTTCACAGAGCTGTGGACTACCCTTGAATCCCATGGCTCACACTGGGGGAGGCCAGCAGACTTCTGAAGACATGGTTTCTCCACTCAGAATGCCATCACATTTTCTTTTCACAATTTTTTGTTTGTCTGTCAGCCTAATCTATGGCACTCAGCTAGAATTTTTAGTTTTATTTTAAAAGGTGTGGCCGAACATCACCTAAATTATCAAGGAATATGCACTGGCCCAGAGACTGTACTGCAATTCTGCAAGCAGGACAAGGGTAAGGGAAGAACGGATCTTTTCCTTCAGCCTTGCTGGGCGAGACTGCTAAGTCAGAACAGGCTATCATGAGAGACCATCTGAAAGAATATTTGAGGTCAACACTGCCTTTTCTCCCTGCAGGAGGGCTGCAGCTGCTACAGCACGTTCCCTGTTCAACTCTTACATTAAACTGCAGGAGTTTGACACAATTTCCACGTTGTTTCCCTGCCTAACCAACTTGGGAAAATGGGTAAACTGCATTCAAGAGTAATTGCAACCACAGAAACATCCTCCTGTGCATTTCCACTTCCAATTTGCTGGTCACCTCTTCTCTGTGGTTCTCTGAAGCAGAACTTCCCTTTTGGATCCCTCTGACCAAATAATTATCATCACCTCCTCCCTCAGCATTGCTCAAGTGAAAGGCTGCTTCCCACACTGCACCAAAAGCTTCACCTGTGCCAGTGACTTTGTCACTGCTCTGTTTGCCTCTGGTCCCCATCAAAACAAGCATCCGTAGGACCCTACATCTCACCTGCTCACAACTCTGCAAAAGTGCACTCACATTACATCTAAAATGGCAGCAGGACCCCTTGCTTATTGCAGAATCAATAACTGCCTTCTTGGATTATAAAACACTTAATTTCACTTCTCAACAACTTCTGACCTCCCCTCCCATCACCATTATCACAGTTAGTCTCAAGGATTTGTTACCTTCTTTTACTTCTTCTCTGCAATGGCTTCACCTCCAGGATTTCCCTTCTGAGGTCAAATCTCAGATGAGAGGTTTTGTTTTAACCTTCTCTCTTCATTTCTTTTGTCTTCTCTGTTTATCATCCTTAAGATTTCGGAAAAGTCCCCTAAAAAACATTCTGTAAGGAATCTTAGATTAAAAATGTGAGACATATACAACTTCTCTTAAATTCTCTTTATTACTATTTGGGAAAAAAAAATCTACGCACATATAATTTGCTTATTATTAATGTGTAGTAACTTTAGCAATTTAAACTTTATTTGACACGGAAGTAATATTCTAACCATACTACCATACCCTGCAGTACTCAACAAGCACAAAGCAATAATGAATATAAAGAAAGCCAGAGCAGCAATTTGGTGTACATGTGAGATAGATGACTCAAAAGCCTGGAGCAGCAGCTCTCTGAAAAATCATGCATGTCAGCATTTCTTGTACTAAACTGTACTCTTTCACATTTGAAAAAAAAAAAAATTAAGCAGCTGTCATGAAATGTATTATATCCTTTTGAAAAAACATTATCCTCAAGACACCAGTGAGCTCTAATTCTTAGAAAGGAAAAGCTATAAACCTTAAACTAAAAAGCTTTCACTAGAGATTTGTCTGTCAGATGATTTCTACACAACTGAGAACAATGTGAAAAGAACTACTTCCCCTCAGCTCTCCGTGATTTACCATGCAGTCACTGCTGTGCTAGTTTTGCTCTATCATCCCACTCTGAAACAATAAATCAGTGCAGAGCTAAAGGTGTCAAAAAGTTTCCTCTCCTGCAATATCCTGCAGCGTGGCACTGCAGCACGATGCCAGGAGGATCACACCAATTTCCTTCATGTTTCAGTGAGGTAACGTGGACTGCTTGAATAATCTCAGGTAATCTGCATTAAAACCATTCTACTGCAGTGTACTGCGGTATTAGGAAAGATTTCAATATTGCACCACGTGATGCAACACAACCTTACAGCATTTGGTAGTTTCCAGGCAGTGGGGAAAGCTTTGAATCCATGGCTGCAATGTAGCAACTTTCCATTTTACAAACTAATAGGGCAGACTATTTTGGCTTACTCTTGATGTATAGAATGAAAAAATATGAAATTCCTGGAATAAATTATTACAGACCTAAACTCCAATTTTTTTTTCTTTTTTTACTTACACCCCCTCTCCCGCTATCATGAGCATCTTTCGATGATAACAGATTTCCTTCACCTTAAGGGTACAGTAAAGCGTTACAATGTTATTAGGCCAGTGACAAATTAATTTTACTAATCTAGAGATTATTTTCCCAATTCTTATTTAAGCTACCACAGATACATTTCCCTCTCTGTCTTTCCAGCTTGCATATTTTTTAGTTTAACTTAAATTTACACGTACGCTTTTCTGCAGCTACGTTCCAGTCATATAAAGCAGTAACATTTCAATCTTTCTCCAATATTTACACCGAGATTTTAATTATTTCTATGAAGTTTTGGAAATATTCTACATATTTATGTGCTCACATCAAAGATGCATGAAAAACACATGAATTTTGCCTTGAATGAGTTTCCCCCAAGTACCGTGAATAAATGCAAAATGGTACCTGGCTATATTTTCAGCTAGTGATTTTTTTTTTTTTTATTTCTGTGTGTCTCTGAGGGAGTTTAGAACTGCATTTCCAAACACCTCTAAAACAGTCCCTGAAAGTCTGGACTATCACAGCAGCAACTACAGAGGTAGAAACAGCGACATAGGTGAACTCTTCTTACCATCTGCATTAGCCACCTGCACATGGCAGGATTTTGATGCTGCGGCCCGGCGGCGAGGGAAGGGCACGGGGCTGACATTGGCTGCAGCGCGTTGCAGCTTCCCGCAGGGCGAGGGTCCCTGCAGGCGCTGCTCTGCAGCCCCGGCGCCTTTCTTTGGCCAAGGGCACGGCCGGGCAGCGCGCACGCCGCCCCGTCCCGGCTGCATCGGGGACACGGGGCAGCAGCACCGCACCTGGTCAGGGCCCTGGTCACCTTGTAGGGTGGGTCTCAGCATCGTTTCCCAATCCCTTTCCTCGCCAGGAGACCGGCCTCGACCGACACCTCGGGTCCAGGGTACGCCACCCTCCCCCTTCCCCCACGGAGCTGCGAGGGCGCTCGCCGCTGCCGACACCGCGCGCCCCTCGGTCGCAGCCCCTCTTTTCCCTCGGGGGTCCCCCGGTACCTCGCAGCAGCCATTTTCCGACGCCCTCAGCAGCTCCAGCGGTGATGTCACCCGCCGAATCTCCTCGGCGGCGGGATGCACCGCTCCGTGCTCCTTCCTCCCTCCCAACGCCAGTGGCACCTTCTTCTTCTTCTTCCTTCTCCTCTACCCCCTCCTCCTCCTGCCGCCCCGCCCCGCCGTGCCCGCGCCGGCTGCCATGCGGCGCCCGGCCCCGCCCCGCCGCCGATGCCCGCGGGCGCTCCGGCTCTGCCCGCCGCGCTCGCCGCTCCCGGCAGCCGTGCGGGCACGGAGGGGCAGCCCCACCGCAACCATCGCCGCGGCGGCGGCTGCTGCTGAGTCACGGCCTGAATCTCATCCCGCTCCTCCTCCTTCTCCTCCTCCTCCTCCCCCGCGCCGCCGCCTCCCGCCCGGCTGCCGGCTCCAGCAGCGCGGTGCCGGCGGCGATGCCCGCCCCGCTGCCGGGGGGAGAGGCTGCCCGGCGCTGCCCGGCCCCCCGCCGCTCGCCGCAGACCCGCGCACGCACAGGGGCAGCCGGGCGCTTGAGCCATGATTGCCGCGGCTTTCCTGGTGCTGCTGAGACCCTACAGCATCCAGTGCGCCCTCTTCTTGCTCCTGCTGCTGCTGGGGACCATTGCCACGATTTTATTCTTCTGCTGCTGGCACCGCAGGCTCCAGAAAGGGAGGCATCCCATCAAATCCGTCTTTTCAGGTCGCTCAAGGAGCCGAGGTAAGAGACGCTGCCGCTCCCTGAGGGCGGCGGGGGGTGTCCCCGGCCCATCCCCAGCTTTCTGCCGGCGGAGGGCCGCCGTGGCACGGTTTAGCCGGGCAAAGGCTTTAAAGAAAATTCAAGCCGAGCCCAGGACTGCGGCAGCCTTGTCTCCACCCATCCCCTCAGCGAAACCTCGGCTAGAGGGAGAGAGGTGAGAGGCTGGAAAGCCTCCCAGCCCTCCCCGGTCTGTCAAAGCGCAGCAGAACTTTATGCCGAACTTCTTCCCGATGAATTAAATATAAATGCCGGGCGGAGCTGCCGGCTGTGCCTGAAGGGCCAGAGCCGTCCCGGAGTGTGCGCCGCAGGGCGAGTGTTGGGGTAAACCCGTTAGCCGGGGCGAAATGCGAGGTGCAGCTGGTGGAGCTGTGTGTCTTTCTGCTTCCCTTCCAGATGCTGTCATGAGAACTCATCACTTTCGCTCTGAGGTAATTTATTTAGCACGCAATTTCAAGGTCAGAAGTTGTTCTCTTTACCCGAGTACATATTGTCGTGGTCTTTTGTTAATGAAATCACATAGCAAACTTTTCATTTTGCATGAAAAACATAATGTCCTCTTTCATCTCTTGGTTTGTTTTTTTTTCCTTCCCAACACAAAATGAGCTCTTCATCTGTGTTACCCTAACCGGCCTGCCGATTCGTGTCATTCCCAAAGGAATTGGTTACTTGGAGAAAAGCTGTGCTTACTGTACGTGCCAGACCTCCGTGTGCCCAAAAGCAGCCCTGAGCCCAGTTATTGACCTCGCTGTAAATACGTGCAGAGCTGCTGGCTTTGCTGGCTGCAGAGCCTCTGCTCGCTTGCTGTGCCCACAGCCCTCACCTGCGCCCTGCCCCTTGCCAGGGAAGTTGCCTGCCTCCCTCGGATGTTGCCGCGGGAGATCCCAGAAGGATCCAGACTACAGGCGTGCTTGGCAGGGACCTCGGTGTGTGACTTTGTATTCAGAGGTCAGGGGAATCAAAACTCTTACATGCCAGTGCTGGAAGTATAACAAAAACCTCAGGCACTTCCTAGGGATTCTGGATGAGGAGCATAATTGCTGGGAAAATATGAAAAATAATATTTGTTTTAGTACCCACTTTGTTTCCATGCTGCCCTGCAGAGCTCCTGTCTAGCTATTTCTCTTGCCTGGTTTCCTGCTATTGATTTAAGGCATATCTTCATGCCATTGCCTATTATTCTGAAAGCCTTGAGAGACAGTTTTGCCCTCAAATGATATTTTGTTTTAAAATAATTTGCATTTTGCCTTACCCTGCTGTGGGTGTGAAAATGATCCAATTATGACTAATGTTTTCAAAAGTGTGCATGGGATACGTTTTCGCAGCATGGTTTATATTGGCAATTAGTTTTAAATTCTCAACTTTTGTTGACCACCACCACAAAAAGAAGATGCCATAGGGAGTATCCTGTCTTTAAACCATGAAAAGTCTGAGTTTGTTGTTCACTAGTGCTCCAGTAAAGTGAACAAATAAATGTGTACCACTGGAAATCAAAATATTTTTTCACTATTTAGTGTTTCCAATATGAAATGCTTGGTTTCCTTGTAAAATTCACTCAGTCCTGAGCCTAGGTGGAGATGAAGTTTAATGTTTTGAAGTACATGCCATCCTGCATGATGACACTTCAGAGGGAAGTTGGCAGAGTAATTTATTTTTGTTGCTTCAGCATGTGATTATTTGTTTGTCATCCATTCAGAAGCAGATGAATTTAAAATATTTCCTAGAAGCTTCCATTAAGTGAAACATGCTAGAGTAACTGTTATATTCTTTCATAATTTTCTGTATTTTGTTTAGCTGGAGTAATACTGCAGCTAGTGGTCTAAACTGTTCTTTTAAATAAGTGGTAGAACTGTTTTTCCTTTCGTTTTCTGATGAGACTTTTGATAGAGAAATGATGACTCATTTGACTTCATTAAATTTTTATTTTCCAATATTTTTTCAAGTAAGATGTTATTTTAATGAATCTAATAGAATTCATTAATGAAAAAACTACAGGCATACTTCCAATAAAAATATTGGAAACATTATCTGAAGCAGAATTTGACATTCTCTATCCATATCATCACAAAACATTATGCACTTCCAACTGCAATACGATGTTGCTGAAAGCAAAGCACGATACATGAAAATATGGGCTTTGTATAATCCCCCCACCCCCAAAATTAATGTAATATCTCAATTCCAAATTTTATTGCACAAGGTACATCTGCTAGTTTCCAGCATGCTTAGCTGCTTGTCAGGTGTAGTTATAAATAGTGTTTCTTAATTAGAATAAAAGATAATGAAAAACAGGCTGATAGTAAATAGCAGTGGGTTGGCATTCATCTCCTGAGAGCTGGGTTCCAATCTGACTTCCATCACATGTGAACGTGCAGGTGGTCTAGCAGCAGTGCACAGAGAATTATAATTGCCCTATCTACAGAGCCTTGGCAATTCCTGCATGATTGACTGCCTGCCAGGAAAGCCTTATATTTGGAAAAACAGAAGTGTGCAAATTTATGTTGAGATTCTTTGCCACAGCCACAGCTCTCATGGTGCATGCCTTCATTGTCTATATACAGTAAGAATTATTGAATCCTTTTCTTTTAATACTGAACCACACAATAAAAAATAAGACTGCATACTATGGGAGGGTAGATACAAAATTTGGAAATTTATTTATTATCTTTTCAGTCCTTCTGTTTTGAGTTTTATATGCCACTGGTGAATTGAATCCACAAATAGTTCATTTTTGTGGGCCTTGATTTTTAATGTCTCTGCAAAACATGCCTCATTATAATACATCAGAAGTCTATGCAGATATTACTTATTATAGAATGAACTTAAACACTTGACCCCCTGCCTCAAAAGGAGATAAATTTGCATGAATCATTATGAATATAAAGTAGGTGAAAGTCTGTCTTTGTTAGAGGTGCTTAATAACAGAAAATATTAACCAGGAAGATGTGAGAGTTCTCTTGAGATAATACAATAATTGTCTCCACCTCCCCACCAACACTTGCTACCATCTGAAGTTTGTCAGGCCTAATTTTAATATATTCTTTTATTTACAGTCCTCAGGTTCATTATGACTGTAACTGCTCTTAAGATTCTTCCATTCCCCAGGCACTACAGAAATTCCATGAAGTCACAAAGGAATCACACCCAGAATAGTTAATGTTCCTAATCTCAGGGAGACCTAGATATGCCACTGCTTTAAAAAGAAAACAAGTAAATTTCCAACAGAAATATTCATTGCTGCATGACACATCAGACTTTGATGTAGTTGTTTGCACTAGTCTGTCTTCATTTTGAGAATCAGTTGTGGAATGAAATGTCCATGCTGAACCAAAACCACATCAAAATAACAGTATAACTCAGTGAGAGTTTTACCAAAGTAGGGACTATGATCCATTATTTGGCCTATTATTATTATTATTGAAAAATATAAAGGCTATAAATGATTTACTAATTTTATTCTTCTTGTGTTCTTTATAGAAGTTGTTTTTTTTCATGAAGCAGAGGAATTTTCTCTGAGTCCTTTGTGGGCTTGGGCTTGACATCTTTCAATGTTTATAATTTTATGCCTTAGAAAGAGGTCTGAAAGTCTCCTGTACCTTTCAATTTAAAAGCATTGCTTAATGTGTTGGTGTTGCCACTTCTTGTGATTTAAATTTCTTTCTGAATTAGTTTTCCTCGTAGTTGAAGCCTCTGGAGTCACTGGATTATGTGAGATTTTTACCTTTCAATTAAAAGGGAAGTAAGCTTCTAGCCCTTAGGCTGGAAGGAATTAATCTGAATGGTATAATTCTTAATGTCTTTTGATTTGGTGGTAAGAACTGTTGAAAAGGAAGGTTCTCATTCAGGATCTATAAAGGGTTGGGTTTTATGAGATTGTGAAGGGATAATTGTGGTAATTGCTAAAGTAGCAGTTTTCATATTTTTGAGGAAAAATGACTAGATTTATAAATATTTTGCCTGAAATTTTCTCTGAGCTTCAGTTTTCCTTTACCTTAGGATATTAGGGATACTATAACCTCAGGAACTGAAGGTATGACTACCCTGTGCCAGTGGGTAGTCATAAGCAACATGGTATCACTTTGTATTTATTTAATTTTGACTCACATATTTTGGGCAAGTTTCCTGTGAATGCTTCCACTGAGACAGGTCAAAAACGACTAGGAAACAAATCAGTACAAGTTTTACAGTCCACTGTAAATTCTGACTTCACATAACCCAGGTGGGACTAAACACACCAGTAAGATAAATAGGAGTTGACCCTTTGTGAAAGGACTGACTGTGAGGGCTGGCAGTGTGTGTTAACCATGTCTGTAGCAAAGGATTAACATTTGGTGGTTTGAGTTTTGCAGACCCCACATTTTCAT